TTCTGCTTATTGTTTTGATCTCTTGATCCTTTACTCTTTGTAATTGTTGGGTAGTTGCTATTCAATATTTTGTTGGACTTAGATTCATATGACAATTCTCAACTCCTTAAATTGTTCATTTATTTTATTAGGATGGTAATATCATCATGTGAATATTGGCTAATGGGCCGAGAGTATCACTGAAATATGGGTGTAGGAGAGAGAGAAAAGGGGTGATGGTGGGACATATATATTGTATTTAGGGGTTAGAGAGGGTTTTAGCTGAAATTGGGTATTGTGAGCATGGTATAAAAATTCGGACAGGACTGGTTCAACTAGTGAACTGGCCAGGTGACCATCTGGAGATGTGTTTAAACTGGGGATCTTTTGAACCAGTGATGAATTGGCCAACCCAGGGTTGAACTGGGCAAACCAGTTAACCCAGTGGGTTGACCAGTCTGATCAGGTTATAATAAATAAGGCAAAAGATGAAGTTGGAAAAGAAGGTTGAAGGATAAGATAAAAAATGGAATCCACGAACACTGTAGAAAATGATGAATGAAGAAGAAGAATACCTTAGACAAAGATGAAAGAAAGAAAAATTAAAGCTATGAAGAAGACCGATCAAGAAGTACTGTTTATCCATACCTCAGAGAGATATAGATGAGAGTGAACTGTGTAGAGAGATACAGGGATGAGAGCGAGAGGCACACAGGAACTCAATCAAATTCAACATGTAAATTTATTTTGTCTTTCTCTCCTGCATTTCAATATCCCCATCCCCATCATATTCACTAATACCCCCTTTAGAATTCTTTTCTATGTTCAATTATCTGACATGGGCTATTTTTATGATAGTCTATGTCTGAGCCTGATAATTCTAGTTAGACTTGCACTCTGCCAGATTGTTGCTGGTTTTAATATCAATTTAAGATTGGGTTCTGTCAATGAATCTTTCTTTTGGTCACTCCCTCCAAGCAGAAAAAATGTCAAAGATAGATATTTGTTAAGTCTGCATTTAGTGTGTCATGCTGTATGATTGCATCTGGGGCTTCTTTTTCCATATAACTTTTTGCAAATGGTGTGGATTGTAGAGTTTCATTTTGCATAATTAAGTGAACCATTCTTCAGCTAGAACTCAGTTGGGCTTGTTTCTCTTTGCAGGTAAACAAACCATCCGTTATATTCATAGATGAAATTGATGCATTGGCTACTAGGTATGGGCTTACTTTGGCTTATGTTGTGACTCATTTCTGAAAGTTATGAATTTTATCTGTGTGCATCCGCATACTAGCTCAGAAAATTTTTACGCACAATTTGTCCACATTTTTTAACCTGGGAATCGGAGGAATTTCTTACTTGGAAAACCTAAATTTTAGAGGAACTTCTAACTTTTTGATCAACCCCCTTGTCACTGGAAGTAATTGATAAAACTGAACGTCATTTGTACAGGGTCATTCTAAGGGCCCACTGTATTGCTTGCATTGTAAGTGAATTGGTTGATGCAATCTTGTTATTTCACTGTGTTTATCGCTTGATCACTCAGTTCTTTGAGAAACAAGAGGATGGGGGATGCCATGTTAGATTTGTGGAATGACCTGTAATTTCAAGTTTACTAAGTTTGTGTTGTTTGAGCATAAAAGATTACGTTTTTTCCAGCTCTTGCATCATGGGATTTCAATGGACCAAGAATATTAAAATGACTGACAAGCTAGTGATATTGCTTGGTTTATGTCTGGTGCTCCTGAATGTCCTGATTAACTGATAACTACCTTGCCTGATTTTTAACTATGCATGATCAGGCGTCAAGGAATCTTCAAGGATTCCACAGATCACCTATATAATGCAGCCACCCAGGAGAGGGAAACTACCCTGAACCAACTGTTGATAGAACTTGATGGTTTTGATACGGGGAAAGGTGTCATATTTCTAGCTGCCACAAATCGTAGGGATTTGCTGGATCCTGCACTTCTTCGGCCAGGTCGCTTTGATCGCAAGGTGTTTGTTTCTTCTTTTTAATTGGAACAGGTCTATTGCATGCTGCCATTTAAGATAATGGGAAATGGAGGGAGAATGGACTAAAATCTCACATTTGGTTTTCCTATTAATCTGCCCTCTTTATACGCTGATGCAATCATTAACTTGTCTAACTTATCTGTGCACCACCGTCATCTGTTTGCTTGGTTATGTTTGACGTTTTATGTAGTTCTCACCAACTGGAATATGCTTTCAGTTGCCCTTAAAATTTTCTTCTGTAGATCAGGATACGTCCTCCAAATGCAAAAGGGAGACTAGAGATTTTGAAAATTCATGCTAGCAAAGTAAAAATGTCAGATTCTGTTGATTTATCCAGCTGTGCACAGAATCTTCCTGGTATGCATTTGCTTAAGTTTTTAATTGAGTTTGTAACTTTTAAATAACTGAATCCATGTATTTTAATTCTTAGGATGGACTGGAGCAAGATTGTCTCAGCTGGTCCAAGAGGCTGCTCTTGTGGCAGTCAGGAAAGGCCATGACTCAATTCTTCAGTCAGACATGGATGATGCAGTTGACAGGCTTACAGTAGGACCCAAACGGGTAGGAATAGAGTTAGGTTACCAAGGGCAGTGTCGTAGAGCAACAACTGAAGTGGGAGTGGCGTTAACTTCTCATCTGCTAAGGCACTATGAGAATGCAAAAGTTGAATGCTGTGATCGCATTTCCATAGTCCCACGTGGTCAGGTCCATGTTCAGTTTCCCTTATCATTATTATCCGCTTCAATCTTCTGGAAATACTTTTGTCAATCTTTGTTGTTCTTTATGTGGGACTGAAGTAATTTGGATCAGGAGTACAGATTCTATTCCACTGATAGGGAGATATATACACGTTACACTTTGACTGTACAGGGAAATAATAAAAGAACTAATAACAGAATAAAGACAATTATTTACCCCCACAATCTCATCTAATTAAATCCCTAAAAATCTGGAGTAAATAATTAATTTCTTATTTAATTCTATTTCACAGGGACTTACTGCTAATATAAGTGACATTGAAAGTGATTATAATTGAAGTGCCAATGCAGAATGAAGTGCTAGAGAGATCTGAAGAGCAAGAAAATTCCATCTGGAGGATTATTTCCATTTTTAATTCTGGGTTAACGCGTCTTTTATTTCTGCTAGTTAAGGCTACTTGATGAATACAAATGGGGCTCCCAACTGTTATATGTGCTTTACAATTTAGTGCATGGTTGATGTGTTTTCACTTAAATATTGTTTTGGCTTTCCCTGAGATTGATTGGGCCGAAAATTTTGGTTAGTGTTGGTGGTTTTTTTTTTTTTTTTTTTGGGTGGGGAGTTTCTACTGAACATGTGCTTAATGGACTGGCAGACACTTTCTCAATTGGTATTCCATCGACTTGATGACGAATCATACACATTTGAGCGTCAACCTCAATTATTGCATCGCCTTCAGGTAGAGACTCTGAGTGGATGTACTTGTGATTTTTTTCATCATTATTATTTAATATCTATTTGAGTTTCTGTCTTTGGCATACAGGTTTTACTTGGAGGGAGAGCTGCTGAGGAGGTCATATATGGACGTGATACATCAATTGCCTCAGTTGACTACCTTGCAGATGCATCCTGGCTTGCCCGTAAAATATTAACCATGTTGGCCTCATAGTTGCCTGTATAGTAAATTTCCTTTTTCTATTTTCTCTTCTTTCTAATATTGATTCATTTCTTTGTTTACTACTACTCATAGATGGAATTTGGAGAATCCAATGGTTATACATGGAGAACCTCCGCCTTGGAGGAAGAAAGTTAAATTTATTGGGCCAAGGCTGGATTTTGAAGGTTCACTTTACGATGACTATAACTTGATTGAACCCCCACTGAATTTCAAGTTGGATGATCAAGTTGCAAGGAGGACAGAAGAGTTGATACGTGACATGTATGGAAGGACGGTGTCTCTTCTGAGAGGGCACCATGCAGCTTTACTCAAAGCTATAAAGGTAATTGATATCTCTCACCTAATATGCAAAAGCTTTACAAGTGATATAAGTATTTAAGTTTTGAGCATATTTGTAGAAGTTGCAATAACTTAATACGACTATTGTGAACATATCAAATTAATCCGGGTGCTCCTTGTTTGTTTGTTGAATAAGCAGCTATTGATTACTTAGACTGGTTGTGGGTTGGCACTGCAGGTTCTACTCAATCGGAAGGAGATCAGTGGTGAGGAAATAGACTTTATTTTGAGCAAATATCCTCCAGAAACTCCTTTAAACCTTATTTTGGAAGAGGAAGATCCTGGGAGCCTCCCTTTCTTCAAAGAACCAACGCGTGATTTGGAGTATGCATTACAAACTCAATCAAAGGAAGAAATCATGTGACTTCTCAAAATCTCCCTGGAAACGAAGGTTTTGTTTCCTTCTCGTCAATCGGAAGTTCAGCTGTCGCCGCTTTCTCATCTTGGGCGTGAGTCTTCCATGGATACGTGTAAAGTGTTGCTTAAAATTTTGCTTTGTTACGCGTTATTCATATTCATACCCCCCTTTCTCTTAAATATTAAAATTAGAACAATTGAAGACTTCAAGTAAATTAAATGGATACCATGAGGGAAAACGGAGAAGCGATGTTCTATCTATCAAGTCAAGGTTCATTGCCAATTCAATCAGGTTGATTCCATATCCTGCTGAGGGAGCCTGTTTTGTCTTTTTGACAGAATCATTCACCTTGAACCTTTTACTGCAAATTTTGCTCAAGAACTTTGCTGACTTCCCAATATTCGGCGACGTCATCTTTATTTAGAGCCTTCATTTTAACTTTGTTGAAGTGTGTCAGGTCACATTCCAGAAAAGGGGCGATCTAGCTAAATTAAATTTGATTTTCATACTTATGCATCATATTGTACCAACAGGCAGCGACCAAAATGTTGGGCAGAGTCAGTTTTCGTGTGATATCCAATCCTTTTGGACTATTTTGTCACCAAGTAATAAATTTGTATTGAAACAACAGCGCCAAACAATTCTGCTATCTTGATATCAATGCAACGCTTTGGGATAGAATGTGTGATTACAGAAGCTATTACTACAAGGGCAACGACTGACTAGCTTTAGAGCAAGATAATGATTAAGGTTACACTGCAACAAACAAGTAACGTAACCCAACCTCTACTCGTCTGGCATTCCTTACCGTAACTATATGCTCCTACCAAAACTATCTTGAAAATTGCAAGGCACACAAATAGGAGGCTCACTACTAGCACGGCAAGCTCTTTAGTTTCCAGATTTGCTTGATTACTTCCAATTTTTTGAACATCTGTTCTGAAAAGGGGAAGCATATATGAGAGGCGTATTAAGCCCCGCAAGACAATAGATAAAAATGAATTTCATAAAGGCAAAGGATTCAGTGCATGTTTGGTATATAGAAAAGTGTTTTTTTTTAAAAGAAAATGGAATATGTATCTAACAAAAATGAAATAAGTGCACTTACCATTTTCTTTTTAAAAATACTTCTCTACTTACCAAACATTGCATAAGATTCTTCTATCAAGTAGTGATAGCGGAAAGCAACATCCAAACCTTAGCATGCTATTTTCTCTAACCAATGCATTGACCTGAGACAAGATAGGATCTTTCCATGACTCAACTTCAGATACTCCTTTTTCCTAGAAAGCAGAAGAGAAAAATTATGAAATCATGTGAACACGTGCGTAAATTAAAAGGGAAACAAAGTAAGGAGAGGGTACCATGTTTGTGATTCGCTGCCAGAGATCTTTGATCTCTGATTTGCTTTGCTCTATGGTTTCTGATAATCTGGACAACTCTTTCTCGAGATCTGGTATTGCCTCGCTCTGCATCCTATTCAATTCTTTGACGAACTCCTCTAACCCTGATAAGTTGAGCTCCATTGACTTCACCTTTTGCATCAAAATCTTGAGAACAATGTCACCAGCGACCCTACCATTTAGCTGTTTGAATTCTATTACAGGATCAGGAAGATGAGGAATCTTGTTCAGAGTGGTCTGATTTTTTATTGCTCCTTCCTCAAGCTTTTGAGTGACATTGCTTAAGGTCTCAGCAGCCGCTCCATCTTTCTCACTTTCAATTTCTTTCCCTTTTCTGTCAATTTGACGACCTTCTGGCTTCAAGGAAGGGATGTCGCTAGAATTATGCTCTGGCAACTTATTATGAACAGACGCCCCTGTGGCTACTATTAGATCTTCAAGCATCCTCTCTATTGCATTAATCCCATAAACTTCCACGTGACTCAGTGTACAGTAAAACTCTGAACCATAATGACTAAGCAAGCTCAAGTTTAAATACCTCACCCATTTGGGTTCAGGCAATGTGAATACCTGGGCCTGCTTCACGTTAGCTGCAACAAAGTTTCCCAGCAAGTCCCATGATTCACTTGGATAGCTCAAACTTCCATGCAGTTCAAATTCCTTGAAATTGGAAGAGTAATGCTCAAAGTTTGCAATTTTCACAGAATCAACCAGAGTCTCTTCTGCAAGCTCAATCACAACATACTTTCCTGTCACAGAACAAGGATTTCTCAGGTACTTGTCATGATCCTTCCCTAGTATATTACTTGCACCCTTTGCCTCCTTATTATGAGCCACCACCTTTGCCCCTTTAGACTCAGAGGCAAAGTTGAACTCTGATTCATCAGGTTCAAAGCGCCGAGTGTTGTTAAGAAGCTTGGATTTCATGGCACTGCCTTCTCCCTGTTCTGTTGCGTTTCGGAATTCATCATTGTCCAGATATGGTGGTGGATTCACATCAGAAGCCTGTTCTGACCTAAGTTTAATGTCTTCTTGTGGCCGTATATTACAAACCAAAGCAGAATTACCTAAAACTTTCCGAAATACTTGCTCTAACGTAGTTGTTTCAGGAAGTGAGTACATGGGTTTCGCAGGTTTCTGATTTGCATGTCTGGATTTGTCGCAGCTAGATGACCCATTAAACTCAAACAGAGCTGCATTTTTGTAAATATAGCTTCGATTAGTAACAAAGGAATATGCAAGGTTGCTTATCTGAACATTTGTGAGGGACAAGACTGGACAAGGTACACATGGCACAAGGAAGGATATGAATCACTTAATCTACATATCATCATTATCAGTTTGATCATTATTTGCATATCTGTGCTCGATAGTTGACAATCCATATCAATAAGAATCCAACAGACTGCAATTCTGCACCCGAGGTAGAAGACAGTAAAAACTAATCAAGCACCCAGACAATCGAAAGCCAAACCCCGTAAAGATCACCTTTCTCTAAATAACTTTTCCTAGCCAAAGCAAGTCCTGTGAATCTTGGTTTTTGGTTTCGAGTAAGCTATATGTTTTCCTCCCATTACAATATATCAAGTTCTATTTCTGTATTTTTCTTAATTAGAAGACCACGGCAAAGCCGTGCAAACTAAAAGAGAACTACTAAGATCATAAGACAGGAGGTGTCTACACGTAAGAGCCGGGTCATTTAAAATTCTAATGTCTATATCATTCTCATGCGCTTGGTGAGCAAGCCAGATCAAACTCCAAGCATTACTACAATATTCTATACGAAATTCTGTAAAAATTTTATTGACGCGTATTTTTAACAATTACTTGGTCGGTGATTAAAATCAAGATATATCATCATCACAGAAGAAGAAGCGAGGGGTTTCTAATGAGGAGAATTCCATTCAATGTAGGTTTATTTCTCTTGCTAGGATTACGGCGAAATAGAAAGATAAGATTAGAAAAGAAATGAAGGCAATGAGATGGAGCATTGAAGGAAAATGGGAAGTGATACACCCACACACACACCTCCATTTGCATGACCAAGGCCAGGCTTAGAGTAGAAGAGAAAAAGGAAGCACCAAAGGGATAAGAGCAAGGACAAAGAGAGCTCATAAAAGCTCCTCATGTTGTCGTCCTTGTGATGGGGACATTTGAATACCAAGAAGCTGTGTGTCTGAGGAGGAGGAGGAGGAGGAGGAGTTTGACTCTTCATGCTTGATTCATTCTAGAGATCATCAGAGTGAAGAAGAAGAAGAAGAAGACGAATCATGCTTAAAGGCAGTGTTATTAGACGTTGCAGGCTTCGATCCTTAGAAAGAGATGGAGATGGCTCACCTCGACTTAACAACCGTTCATCCGTCCGCTTTCCTTGCCACCATTCCCCAAACTACTTTTATTTGCGTGTCTTCAGATTATGAACAAACTGCTTAATGCCTAACGATGGATAGCCATCGTCACCGTTTTTTTTTTTTTTTTATTTGTCACATAATTTATCTTATCCATTACAATTTACATACTCCTTTCATTCCTAAGAAAAAGTCTCTGGCGGATTCGATGTATCAGGTGATCCATAATCTATCCAATAAAATTATACTAATTCAATTAAATATAATCTCATATGTCATTAATTTTAATGAATTTATTTTTATAATAAAATATTTATCTAATTTCTTGCATTTTTTTATTTATTATCATTAATGTCAAAATTAATTTATATCTAATGATATCCAAATGTCATATGTTTATTGGATGCACCATGAATAATGTGGTGCATCAGGTCCATATAAGAATTTTTCGTTCCTCAATGTAAAACACCTTATAAAAATTGATTAAACATTAATGAGATATTTTCAAAAATATTCACACATTCAATTGCTTCAATTGGATGGCATGTTTGACTTTACAATTTAAATAAGAAGTTAATAATTTTTTTGGGTAAATATAATTAGTAGGCTCCGCTGACAGGGCTAGATTTAAACCCACTAACTGTTTACTTAAATGACATAAATTTTTACCACTTACATCAACTTTAGTTGATAAAAGTTAACAATCTTATCTTAATTCTTTGTAAATGTAACACACCAAATTTTTTTTTTTAATAATTTAACTCAACCATAGTTGGGTTACAGCCACCCAATACATTTTTATATTAATAATTCCAATTATAAAATATTTTATAATTGGCTTCAACTCACACACTATAACATTTCAGATAAATTTTTACCTCCCACATGCCATTAGGCTAAATCACATTTGTCCATCCTTATACTCCCAACAAGTAAACTAAATCACATTTGTCCATCCTTATACTCTCAACAAGTAAAATAAGCAATTTAATAAATTTTCAATACAAGCCAGTTATTTGGCCTTATAATCATGCCATGTTAACCAATCCAAAGTAAACCAAATATTAAAATTACAGTCATCCAAATTGTACCAAAAATAGAAATAGTTTGAAAGGCATGATTACATTTATATATTCATATAATTGACAATAAACAAAAAAAAGTCCTAATATTGACAATATAACACATTATAAATCATAAATTAAATACCCAAAAGAGACAGTGGATCTATACCACTAAGACTCTGGGACTCCTCCACGTGTCACTCGTGGCTCTTCTCCTGAAAATTGTTAACCACATAATGAGACTCAAAAGTCCCAATAACCAAAGCCAATTTATGATAGTGTATACAAACAGTTAAGTGTGTGCTTACTAAGTGAGAATTAAAAATAATATAATTCCAACAAATATAAGAAATATTACAATATACACAAACAACCATCCTTATATCCCTCCATTAACCTCGAGCCGTAGCCCTCACTCGGTGCTAAATTACCCGGCCAAAGGTAGATTAGCCCGAGCCCTTACAAGCCACCTATTGAGCTCTAATAGGGGCGTACCACGTGGCACATAAATACAACAATAATAGCAAGTCTCCCAACACCTCCCACAATAATTAAACAAATTCATAATAATATTGCACAATTATACAATATTACAAAAATTCATAATTTTCTCAATAATCACCCAATTAACATGAAGTAACACTAATCACAAATTAAAAGCATGGTTACCTTGTGGCTTTTTCAATAAATTATTCCTTAAAATTTCTCTCTCACCACAATCTTCACCAGTAATACAATTTACAAATAACATATTATTTATAAATATTAGTTTCAATTTTTGAAACTAATAAAATAATTCTAATAATAGAATTAAAAATATAACATAATTCCTAATCTCAGTCTTAATACAAATCTAGAGTCAATACTATTAAATAAAATTTTTAACTCCTCTTTTAATTATCAATAAACATTAATAATCTAAAAATCAACTTCTAAACTAATTTTTATTATCAAAATTTTCTTTTTATTTCATAAATTCGTACCTAAAATACCCAAAAATTAAAAATTAAGTCTCTAGCTTAGAATCATAATCCTATAGCCATAATAATTCATTTCTCATCCCAAATAATCATCTAAACCTCAATAAATCAACATATATTTTCAGATCTAGTTTAGAATTTGATCCATAAGCCACAAATTCAAAGATCACCAATAAATTTATACTCTAGAATATTTATTATACTACTAACAACCTCAAAAATCATATTTATTCAACATAAATTCATCCCTCTTCCAGATCTTAAATTTTCTACCACTACAAAATCAGAAACCAAAGAAGAAGGATGATTAAGAAAAAATTTTAGAACACTTACTTAGTCTTAAAAAGCTTAAAATCACACCCTAAATATCCTATTAAAAACTCTTACCTTAAAAACCAGCACCGGCGAAATTGCGCACCGTCGCCCCCTCTATTTGAGCACGAAGAGAAATGAAAAAGGAAGGAGAAATGAAGAAACGAAGAAGAAGGGATGGGTTTTTAAAAAAAAAATACTGTGGGTCCCACATTTTTTTAATTATTTCCTCTCTCTTCTTTTTTTTATTATTATTATATAAATATAATCATTGCACCGGGGGAGAGCACCGAAAGCCGTCTTGTTCTCTTCTTTCTTTCCTTCTTTCTCATACTTTTTTTTATAATAATACTAATAATAATATTTTAATAATAATATTTTTTTATTTTTTTAATTATTTTTTATTTTTTATTTTATTTTTTTTAATTTAGAATTATATCCTAAGTTAGATTTAATAATCATCTCCTACTAATTTGCTTACCTCTAAATATTTTTTTAAAAATTTCTATTTATCAAAAATTAACTATTAAAATTTAAATTGGGATGTTACAGTAAACATAGTCAAAAATTTACTATTGATATACAATAAATAAAATCAGTTACTTTCATGTTGATTGACCTACTTTTTTAGGCACTCTTTTATGCAGATACTCTTTCTATTAAAAAATATAAGATATTTTTTTAGGAATTTAATGTTAAAAATGTAATGTATTTTTTATTTTTCAAGATGTAATTTTTACTTTTTTTCTTTTAAAAAATGTTCCTATTAAATAAATCACTTTATATTTATTTTAGAGTAAAATACTTTATTAAATAAAAATAAATATTAAAAAAAGTTAGTTTAAATATCAATAACTATTTTATTAAAGTGTGAGATTCAATTAAAAATATTTTATAATTTTAAATATTAATAACTATTTTATCGGGCTTTTGTTTTTCCTTAAACCATTTTGATGAAATTTTTTCTTTAAAAGAATTCTTAGATGCGCTTTTGATTTTTTTTCTTTTTTTGTTGATATTTCTAAAAACTGGTAGAAGGTGAAAATGTGGGGCCAAGAGTAAAAAAATACGTGCGAGGCTCCTGATAAAAAACATACGATAAATATGGTTTTGCAAGTTTTTCTTTATATTTTCAATTTCAATTCAATGTGCACCCTGGCAAAGAACTTGAAATAAAATAACTGATTGTTTAAATGTATCGAGTAATAAATTTTACATAACAAATACGTTAACATAATTTATATTTTTAACCGTTATACAATACTTGGTTCATTAATCACTGCAAAACTCTTTGTGTAATATACTAAAAATATAAAAAATTTCAATTATTCGTATTTTAATTTTATAGTTATTTATTTGTAATTATTTATACAATTGTAATTCACTCCATATAAATACTCTCACTTTTCTCCTACATTTTTATTAAAATTTTATAATCCCACCTATCCATCTTTTTAAAATTAAACTCATTAAAACTATCTCTCTATTTTATTTCCCTCAATCTAAATAGAATATTAATGTTCTATGCATCACAGGGGATGAACATCTAGTTGAGGGTAATTTAATGTTTTTATAAACATTTTGAAAAAAATATGAGTTTTAACTAATTTTAACTATCTTTCTTAGTCCACATAATTGAGTTAAAAGTGTATTATAAATGAGATAAGAGGAGGTATTTGCTTGGTCCTGACCTTAAAGTGAACCATCGTGAAGTATGAATTAATGTGTTGGCTTAGTTTTTGAAATTGAGTTTGGTATCATGCCCCTTAAAGACTTGTCAAGTATGCTAAAGGAGCATATTCTCAAAAATGTGAGATAGATTAGATGATTGTGTGAGTTCTTAGAGTGCTTTACCATAATTTCCTTTGAATGCCAAATGAACACGAGAAATTATGAGTAAGTCAAGTGATACATAAAGGTCAATTGTTTTACTGATGCATTTGTACAACTAATGCTACAAGAAAGAAAGAAAATAAAGTAAATACAAGGCTAGCCTAAAAAGTTAAGTTTGCATAAACAAGTTGATTCTTGTTTAGCAAATTGAGGCGACACAAGGTTAGTGGTTGTGTTTTTGTGCTAGGTAAGTTTAGTAGATTTGGTAAAGTGTTGAGAGAGTGTCAATAAAGCTTCAATTTTGCGATTGTTGTCTATTCATAAAAAAAAAATTAACAATAGCATGCTACTTCAAATTTGATGCTATCAAAGGGAGTAGATGATCGTTTGTGCCAGTAAATCATCGAAAGAGTACTTCATCGTGTGGAGTGACAAAGGTAAATGTGTCATGAAACTCAAGTAGCAAGCAAAGTAGGCAGGACTAAGTCATTTGGCTTCCTAAACTCAACATTCCACTCAAGTTCATGGGTTGTTTTATTGTTTGGTTAGGATTTTTCTTGGATTGGATTGGGCCTTGACTAATACATTCTCACGAGCAACATGTCTAATTTGGTCCAAACATAATGTTTTATTTTTTTATTTTTAAACAATTGTAAAGAATTGTATCACTCTACCAGAATTAACAAGCTTATGGGTTGTTTCGTTATTTGGCTAGGATTTCTTTTGAATTAAATTGAGCCTTGACTAATATATTCTCAAGAACACTATGCCAAATTTGGTCCAAACATAATGTTTTATTTAATTTTTTTTATTTTTAAACACTTGGAAAGAATTGGGTCACTCCACCAAATAAGTGTTTGATTTTTAGTTTACATCATCGAAAGTTCATTTGAGAGAAGTAATTATTTATCGTATTTAGCAAAAGTACATCTTTGAGGAAATTCCAAACAGACCCCAAGAAAATGTATCTATTGAATATTGATCCACAATCTGCGCCAGAAAAAGGAGGAATTATTTAATTGAAATACTTATTAGACTCACAGTACACGTCATTGGGGTTTGTTTGAGTCAGTTATACTACCAGCACGGAGTTCACGGCTATGCGGGTTTCAACATTTTAAGCCAGCATGCCCTCCCCCACTTTTCTTAAAATTCCCTCCGACCTGAAAAATAAAATTAGGGTTTGGGACGAAGAGTAATGGTCAGTCGCGAGAACGAGTAGGAGAAGAAGGGACGACCACTGCATGAAAACCCTTGGAGCGAGTGCCTACTAATTCCTAGGGTTCATGTTCGGCGAAGATTTCATGTCTTATGAATGGAGATTTCCTCTGTTTTTGGCATCGATGTCTCGTCGCAGCCTTTCGTTGTAGCCGCAACAGTTACTGCGCTTTGTTTTCTGCTCGCTTTCTTCTCTGTTGTCAGATCATTCTCACTCCCCTTTTCCCTCAAGACTTTCAAATCATCAATTCACTGTGACGGCTTTGCCGCGAGGAAGTCTTGCAACTGCGCTTGTTCTTGCAACGGTAGCGTTGTAAATTCAGATTCTCCATCCACAAGTGCTCTGTCCTACTTGAACGGTGGCGGGGCTGAAATGTTGGAGGCCACGCCCACTCCGGCTCCGACACCGACACCTACCCCGACCCCGGTTCTGTTGACAGACCGACGAACCGGTGCGTCAATGATGGAGAATTTGGTTCCGGAGATTACAACCCATGCTCTGAGTTACTTGGATTATCCGAGTTTGTGTCGCCTCTCAATGACTAATTCTTTGATGCGGAAGGCTGCAAATGATGACAATGCATGGAAGGCGTTATATCACAAGGTAAATTACCAAGCTCTAAGGTACAAATACTAATCTATTCCTAGCATAAGGTGATCGTTATCGTGTTTGGTTGGCTATCGACTTTAGATGGCGATATCGTATTTAAATTAGCACTCATGACTGCTTGTCTTTGTCATGAGTTTCCGCGACTCTCTGTGGACTGGACTGACTGTTTTACTATTATTTAGGTCCTTTGTCATATTTAATTAGGATCTTTCACTGACTTTCTGGAAGTAGTAGCGTCTGTTTGTCTTACCAAAAATAAAAATAACATGATTATTATCTGAATGACAAATTTTTCAAAAATACAAATGAAAAGTTTCCATAGAGCCATTTCCTTGATACTGCTATGACCATGAGGCTTATAGGACAAGAAAAGGCCGTGTAACATTGGTCCAAATTAGTGAGTATAATTTTGTATACCAACGGGGAGTTGATTAAATAGGAAGATAAAGCTAGTGCCTGTTCATGGTAAATTCTCTCTCATTCTTCCTTTATTTATTTTTTTTTTTTGGTGTGGAAACCCATTAAACTCTGCATTACTGAATTAGTTTCCTTTTTGTTCAAATTTGATTGATTTCTCTGAATAATATTGCAGTTCTCATTTCCTCATATGTCATCGGCTTTTTCCTTTTGAAATTCTATTTTCAGGACTTTACATTGGAACAAGATAGTGTTACACCGATTAATGGGTGGAAAGCTTACTATGCTGTCACAAGAGCGATTGTGAATATTAATAGAGAATTCTACAACATTGTCAGAGAGAAGTCTCTTCCAGCCATGAGTCGTTTTTGGCTGAATGCAGATTATGTGAAGTGTATTCATGCTTCAGGAGAACTATTTTCAGGGTATGACTTTATTTCTTTAATGTAATGTATTTAGCCTGACTTTCTGGATATGCCTATTTGTATTTTTGCCAGTTAAGCGGTTCTGTCCGTTAATTTTTTATTTTGACATTCATAAATCATAATATCCATATTATTTAAAGGCATTGTTCAATTCACCAAAACTTGTGAAGCCCTAGATAGATGCCATGTATTGGACTATTGGCACTAGTTATCTTGTATCTGGGATTTTTATTTGTTCCTTGAAAGTTATTGAGGTGCATTTATATAATTGAAAAGTGCGTTGGACTTGGTATCTTGATGAAGAGGGTGCTGGGATTTAATTTAGCAAGTGTTTAGGTCTACATCAAGTTTCATATTTGCCTTGCTTCTGCGGCATTTATTGTATTTTGGGTGTAAGGAGTTGCCTTTTCCCCTATTAGCAGATTGTTTCAGGTCATTTTACAGTACATTATTATGGGGTCGAATTCATTTTTCAAACTTTAGTGCTCTACTTTTATTGTTTATGCATTATAGATGTGGATGTTGTGATCTTTAATCAGAGATACTATTGGGATCCTCGGCCTTGTTTTTGTTTTGGTGGAGGCATTACTGTGATTTATATCTGGGTTCGTCTTATAAAAGTTTACCAGATGTAGTTCTTGTTTGGGAACTTTTTAGGGATACTTCAAAACGCAACCCTTGGGAATGAATTGAATGAATAGTAACATGCTAGCTATGTCCTAGTTTACAGTTCCTTTTAGTTTTCTTGTGAGGTTGGAATAATGTGAAGGAACTCATGACCTCGAGAGATAATTCTATATGTATGTTGCAAGAGAGAAAACACGTATTTCGATCCTGTGTGAGGAGGTAGTCATAAGGTCATTCTTTAAGTTATGCTAGAGCTGTAGAGCAGTTGGAGTTGTGAAACTTTTTTCTGCATTTTCATCCTCTCCTACACTTGGTTGCAGATATATATGATTTTTACCTGACAGATATATATGATCAGAAGGTTCAGTAATATTAATCAATCAATCTTCCATGCTGCAGGTATAATGCAGTAATGCAGAGTTGGCAGCTTGCTTTTAATTGGGAGCAAGGATTGAACTTTCAGGTGCGGGATGTACGCGCTCGGGTCTTGACAGACATGGCTTGGGTTACCATGAAAACATATGTTGACATGGATACGGGTCCATTCAATGTGACCAACGTCTTTGAGTTTCATAACGGCCGCTGGTATATGGTTCATCATCACATGGATGGAGGAGTAGAGCAACATATTGTACCTGGATAAACAAGTGAGACAAGAGATGATGCCATTGTTTAGCCAAGATACTAGTGACAAAAGGTGGTTTTGATTCGCAGAAGAAAATATGATTGAAATTTTCGTGATTACTTCGGTGAAGATCCTTTTTAGTTTCCCATCTCTATTTCGATTGCATACTGTATATAAGACAAAGAAGTCCCAATTGCAATGGCTCAAGAAAAAAATTGTTATAATTACATTAAGCACATGGAAGTACGAGACAAGAGATGGACGTAAAAAGAAAGATATGATGAATGAGGATGAGTTGGCATCTGAAGCGAGGGCTGTTATTTGTTAATATATAGAGGGCGAGCCTTAGTCGAAGGCTCGAAGCATGAAGCATTCCATTATTGCCGTGCCCCCTTGTGGGAGTAGCACCGTACATTTTTGACTGTGACCCCTTATTATTATTATTATTATTATAACCAAATGATTTAATTGTAAAGGATGATTATCTAAACTGGTGGTCAGGAGTGATTGTTGCTTTAAATCCTTGGATTCGGTATTAATGTCATAATCTTTGATTTTAAAAATAACATGTAAATATGAAATATATAATTGCAGAATGGATGGATCGGGAGGGGCAAGATAATGAATAACAATTCACAAAGCCAAGATGCGATAACTGAGAAGAGAAAAATATCATGTGAATCTGGCGGCCTCACCCGCAGCCGCAAATTTGAAGATCGGCGGATAAAAAGCGTGGTGCGCGTTATATCCATCAGATGGGAGGAGATGGCCCAGGCATTTGCTCTTTTCTCCGTTCCAACTCCTCGCGAGACTCGTCTCTATAAACGTGACTGCATAACCAGAAACTCGTGGGAAATTGTCTCCTACTCTCCTTGGAAGTTTAATGCGCCTTTGTGTTATCCTTCTTCAGCTACTGTTGTGGAAGATGGCCCTTCTTCACCAGACGCACTTCCCGTCCAATCTGATTCTGCCGCTGATGACGCTCTAGAGATTCCTCCGAGGTACCAATACTGTAATTTACTATAGCCTTGTGGGAAATTTTTATTTTGTTCGCCACTCCTCCCTCTCCCCCGTGGATTCCTGATAAACGATCCAGAGTTTGAGCTCCGTTTGTGTATCCTGTTTTATTTATTCATGATATGTTTTTCCGGTGCATGAGGATATAATTATATACTAAAGTTTGACTGACGAGAAGTGTACCCAGTCAGTCGCCGACGTTTGGAGCAGCATTCTGGGGCGTTTCTTTTGGTATCTTAAGGATAAGAGTGTATTGACTTGTTTATGATGTTCATTTAACTTTTAATACGTGAAGGAAATGTAATTTTCCTCGCACCGACCTTTCCATGTTTGGATTAATGATAGAAATGAACTGATCCTGAATCTGTTCGCTTCTTAATGCATTTCTGCAGTGGTTGTAGAACATGTGGAAGGGAAGAAATCGAGAAAGGGTGTAATGGTGAAGGGAGGATCCAAGGTGGGATTGCAACAGTACCTGGATTTGGATGGTGGCCTATTAAGGCTTACAGGCCTTGTCCTGGATTCGTGGCTTCCGGTGGGAGGTACAGGCGGCGAGGACAGAGTATGGATGAAGTTGCCTTTGGACGTGGCGAAAAAGCTTCTTCGAGATCTGGCAGTGACAAGAAGTCAAGGTAATTTTATTTATTTTGCTGATCAACTCCTTGTTCCTTAGATTTGGTCTTCTCTGTATCTTCCTGCTGACTACTAATGGTAACTGCAATATAACTCTGCAATGGAGGATTTTATGCTTAAAATTTGTTCCTGCATTGATCAGCCAGTTAAAGGTGGCATTAGCTGCGACCCCCAGTGTTCCCCTTTGTACACCTGCCTATCGCTCTTTGTTGATTTAGATGTAGCCTTTTGTGTTGTTCAATCAGTAAGCTTTTAACAAAAGCTTCCTTGAAATTGAATGGAAGCAATCAATGGTTACTCACTACACCTTCATGCCACTATGGTTTCCTTGGTAACAGAAAGAAGAGTTCTGCCAGCGAACACGTAGCTCAACTGAAAAGGGGTTATGTTGGCTTAACTAGTGATCTGGAGTTCGAGTCCTAGATATGCAATTATGTTAAATACTTGTTGGAAAAGTTTTACTGCTAATGTGGTGTGGTTCTACCCAGCTCGGCTCATGAATAATAAGTAATAAGTAATTGTGTGTGTTGGGGGGGGGAGGGCGCGCTCGTTCTGGTTAATGAAGCAGACGATTCAAAAGTCAAGTCTTGGATCCCTGCTGTGACTATTCTCATGCATTGCTCAAGTACAATCAATGTATTGGGATGAAAATGAATCTGCTATTATAAATAAGATAAAAATACACAAATGACATAAACATGTTACTTTTAACATTGCAATTTAAAACTCCATCCAGTCCTAAATATAAGAGTTAGATAACTAATTTACATAGATTTAGGAAATTAGTTAAGTTAATTATTTGTAAAAAAATATATTCCTAAAATACTGTCTTTAATCATTTTATGTTGGAAACTATGCTCCTATTGATGGAAACCTCCCTTAATTTGTACCGGGGGAAAATTATAAATTTGGGAGACAAATTAGATTGAGATCTTATGTTTAAGATTAAAGTAAAACCTTCAATTAGCTCTTCCATTTAAGACTGGAGAGTATTACACAATAACAGGACGAGCAGGGGAGCAGTCCCAAAAGTGTGCTAAACTGTTATGCAGGGATAAAGTGGCCTTGAACGTCACTGAAAGGTGTTTGGGGTCATATTATTGCTGCCAATGAGGCAATTGTCGTTGCTTTTTGCCCGTTGTTTTGGACATGGGAAGTTTTAGTTTCTGAATCTGAACGAGTGTATGGTAAAAAGTTTATGAATCTGAATCGGCCAAATTATTGTTCACAGTTTAAGTTGCTTATTTGTTATTTCCTGATGATTCATGTAAGCTTCTAGTAATAATGCATTTCATGTTGCCAACTATTGCAGCGAGAAAAAGGAGGGGTCAAGAAAATTCAAGAAGTAAACATGTTTGGTGGGGACATACATGCTCATTCCTTTGTCAAGACGGCCTAGAGAGAAAAGTTGAAACCAATGATCGAGAGATAATGGGGCATAAAGAATTCATCATTCTTACCATATTTTCGTTTGATCTTGTTATACGGACGGATTTTGGGTTGAAGATGTAGTTTGCTAAAAAAATTTAATACAATATGCTTCCGGGATGCTGGAACCTGGAAACATGTTATGATTTTTTTCGCCCCCCTCGTTTTTCAGTATAATCTCATGAATCTCATGACACGGAGTAACCGGCTGATGGAGTATAATCTCTTGACATATAAAATGTTTGGACTCGGAGATGCTGATACTGTCTTAATTTTTAAGATTTAATTTAATTTTGCTCCCTGAAGAGTGAAGAATAATGAGAATAATCGGTTAAATTAAGCACCAAAAGTATCCTATGATACTCGTATAAAGAGGATTTGAAAAGTAACATTTTCTTTATATTTATTGTAAAGCTGATGTAATTTAAAATATAAATTATGAATAACGAAAACAATTATTCATTAAACACCATAATTTTATTTTTGTCATCGAGTTTTCCCCATAAAAATGATTATAAATAATATTTATGAATATTTTATTATATGGAAAGAAAAATGAAGTTCAGGGAATTCTTTGATGTTAAAAAATTTAAAGAAATCCGAGGTGCATTAATTGTTCTAATTGTATAATTTTTATTTATCATTTTCATGCTAACTAAATAAACTTGTCCATATTAGAAATTTTTAAAAGTTTTCATCCCAAAAAAAAAATGCCATGAGAAACTGCGTGAGCCTATAATGCCCTCCCACAAATCCAAACCCCTTTACCATCATTCTTTTTCGTTTCTTCTCCAAATTCCCAACGTCAGTGCCACTGTCGTTCGCTGAGTATTCTGGTAGAAATGGACGCTGAAATCAAAGGACGAATCGAGACAACTGTTCGGAGGATTTTGCAAGAATCAGACATGGACGAGCTCACTGAGTCCCAGATTAGGAAGCAAGCGGCCAAAGAGCTGGACCTGGACCTGTCGCAGCCGCATTACAAAACCTTTGTGAAGCAGATTGTGCAGTCCTTTATTCAGGAAAAACAAGAGGAGCAGGAGGACGAGGAGTACGACGATGAGGGCAATCTCATTATCTGCAAGGTCCCTTTCCTCCTCCCTGATTTTTCCCTTTGGTTTCTGATGAACCAAAACTTCCGAAAGATTCTATTAATTCTTTTTTTTTTTTTCAGCTTTCTGCCCAGAGAAGGGTGACGATTCAAGAATTCAGAGGGAAAACATTGATCTCTATCCGGGAGTATTATAGAAAGGACGGTAAAGAACTTCCTTCTTCGAAAGGTACTTCTATCTCTTCTCACTGAAATATGTTTTCCATAAGCTTATCCTCATTTCATAACTTCTAATTACTACGGCGATAAATTAATGGCATGCGCTTCCAATTTAGCTCATATTTTACCCAATTTTAAACATTTTTCTACTTATCCCACAAATTTTGCATATTGAAAATTCTAATGGTGGAGAAATGAGTTTTACATCAAAGATCCGCGTCTTTCAACTGTGGCCAATTACAAGGTACTAGGCTTTATATCTCAACCGTCTGCTGATTTTTATAATGAACTCGAGCTAATTAACATAAAGGGGCCAAAGGAAGCATTATTTTCTGATACTGGTCGCATGCTGTATTCCAGAATGACGTGTTTCTTTTATATCTATTCACCTGTCATGATGGTTAATATGGATGATGATATATTATGCTGGCCTTTCACATACGAAACATCTAATTGCATTAACTATGTCTGTGAAATAATATTTACCGAAGTTCTGTGAAGTCCAGTCGGACATCAACATTTAGAAGTTCTGGAGAATACACTTGCTCATTACTGTAATTTAGTTATGGATCGAGATTAGTGTTATGGATTATTGAATATATTATATATTGTAGCTCTTTTGTCATGCTCAATTTGCCCTTAAAAATTACAATGAAATATAGGTTGCATCTTTCTCAGCCATCACCTATGTAGCACGGATACTTCAAAAAAGTAAACGTACCCGTATCGGACACATATCCGATACGATACTTGTAAGATACTTTTGCATACGTATCCCATATTCTAACATTTGTTATATAATTTTTTACTATATCACTTAAAAACTTAAAAAAACACTTAATATTTTAGTTAATTACTATAAATATCCTTATATTACTTTAGAAATTCTTGTTTAAAAATCAAAATACCTATACTTACATCATAAAATGTTGAAATATACATTATAAATATTCCCGTACCCGTATCCTAAAATTTTGAAAATTTGCCGTATCCTCATATCATGCCGTATCGTATCGGATACTCGTACCCATATCTATGCAACCTAGGCCATCACTCTCACTATGTCAATGCATTAAATCAATGATTATTTGGATTTAAAATGGAAACTGCTTTGAATTTAGATTTACCTGGATCAATTTGCGCTGGAGTAAAGGCTCTCCGTGATATACTTCCAATAAAATTTATGCTATTCGTCATTGGATTCTGTAAATTTTATTCTTGTATATTGCCATACACACGTCCAAATGGATAACCGTTTATTTAGGTGGCATCTATGGAGAAGCTTGTATAATTAGGCAGGTAGAGATTTGTAGTGCTTTCACAAGCATGTGCTCTCAATTTCTTTTTTTCCTGATCAAAACTTCTTAACTTATCTAGAACAGTACTTGAAATATAAGAACCGTTTGTTGCTGCAGATGTTAAGTGATTATGGGTATGTCAGTAGCAGTTTAGTCTTGTGTACTGCTCTAATAATCTTACTTCTGATTTTGTATGCTTCTGTGTAAACTGTGGTGGCCACCGAAAAAATACTCCTGTATAAAATTTGATGCTGCTCGATAATCACAGGTTGCTTGCAACTTGCAACTTATACTTTGTTTGTTTCTCAGGAATAAGTTTGACGGAGGAGCAGTGGTCAGCGTTGAAGAAGAACATACCTGCCATAGAAAAAGCCATTGAGAAGATGGAGTCAAACATATAAGATGAAGCAATCTGTGTTACAAGGACCTCTACCCAGTGGGCAGAGCTATCTATACCTTTGATGATATTTTAGATCTGGAAATGTTCATTTACTGTTATCCAAAAATTGGGATCATGGAAACCTCTCATAAGTCCCTACAGTTCGGCGTATTACCGTTCTGATATGATGTTTTGAACCTCACTCAGAACTGACTTTTCTTTTTTGGGGAGTCTAATATTTATGGGGGTTTTCTTTTGACAATGGACATTTTTTCAGAACCTTATGATAAATCCCCCGTGTAGTGTTCAAGTCTACCTTGTACTGCAAAACGGCCGCTTGAGTGCTAATGGATATTTTGGAAGAGTATGAACCGAGGTCCGAGGCTGATATAGAACTAGTTATTTAAATCGTGAGAAGAACAATCTGACCTTCTCTTTCCAGTTTCCAAATCGTTGTGATTCGTTGATTCGTTATTTTTCCTTGTCAATTTATGTCAGGATCCAGGACTCAGGTTTTTCCAGAACAAGGCTTATTTTGCCGGTTGGTTCCTCTCTGTGTTATGTGGGGCCTGTAACCATGCATTGTGCCACATGTAATACGAAAATCAGGAAGCCGCAGGTTCATTCGCCTCGCACAATGAGCTGAGTGCTCATGAAGCCTGTCCTGACTCCTGACGTCAACGCATTCGGAGTGTTCGCCTCACAGTTCACGCAATGAACTGTGAGCGAGCTCTGTGAAGCCTGGCCCTGACGTCAAGGCTTTCAGAGTTTGTGTACTACCACGTGCTAGTTTATTTTATGCCCAGATGCACCATATTCAAGATCCGTATAACAAAGGGGAAAAAAGAACTATTCAAGATCATAATATTAAAGGATCATGCTATTGCTAGGACCTACTTATTCCTCCTGTATTTTTATAAATTATTTTTATTAATTTTATCAATATCTAACACAAAAAAATACAACAAATAAAAATGTAAAATTTTAAATATGTCTTTATATAATAAATTTAAAAAATAATATTATATTATTTTTTATCTAATTTTAAAAATATTTTTTAAATATTATTTAAAAAGTTATACCTTAATTTATAAATAAAATTAAATAAATCTTCTAAACCTTGTATTGTAAATGGTACAAGGAGTATTTCTCATAGCACTAATGAAGCTTTATGGCTCGAAAAGTTTGTCATGCGGGCAGCAGCTTTATGAGAAAGTTGCATAAGTTAACTTTATGTACAATATACATGGATTTAGAATCCACGGAACTTGAATCCACCCAAATTCATTAGGAATTAGCCTTTAAGCCGCCAATTCTTGAGGACGGAGCAGAAATTTACTGGGAAACACTAGAACAATCGAACAGCTTTATTTGAGTTATAATTGGACAGGACATCCAAATAAATTCACAGCTCTAATGTTAGGACTAGTGAACTTAGATTTCAACTGCAGCTTCCTAAATAAAGGGTGTATTGCTGAAGAGGGCTGGCTTCCATCCCAATTTCCAAGGGCTCATGGTTCGTCTGCTTCTTGTGGGACTGCACGAAGTTGCAGACGCAGCCATCCTCATCTTCTCAATTAGGGCTTCAGTATTCACCTGCTCTGACAAAATCTCCTCCAATTGTTTTGTATCGATCACCAACTTCACCTTCCAAACGCCATTTCCGGCCGATGGAAGGACTTCAAGCGCAGACCCATTCGACAAATTCTTCACGTACCCAGATTCTGCGCTGCCCTGCGACCTGCCTAGTTGCTCTTTCTTCTCACTCCTCCATCCTTCGTCTGATCTTCCTGAATCTCCATGATCAGCAGTACCGTTTTCCCGTTCACCTACCTCCTCCAGCTTCAAAGGAAGAAGGTAATAGAGAAGGCCGTGACTTAAGCTCTCCTGCTCCGGCAGCGGCGAGGATGCATGGCCCTGCCGGAAAATACCATAACCAGGGTGGTGCCGGAGCACCTCGCCGGCTGTTATAGGAGCTTTGAATTGTAAAAGAGATCCCCAGTCAGTGAGAACCCGGATGGAGTAGTGACATTCCGCAGTGACCCCTTTAAGAGTGCAATTCCCCATTACTATCAGATTTCTCAGATGATCGTTGCTCCTCCACTATGGCCTTTTGTAGTTATATATAATATTTGAAACATCTGAGCAGAAACAACACTAGGGTGTAGCTTGTAGTACTGTGAGCTCACTTATTTAGCGGTGCGCATGTGAAATTTGACCGTTGCGGAATTGTTTTTGACAATTTGCGGAATATTGAGTGAACCAAAGGGAAAAGAACAGCGTGTGATGTTAGATTCCCCATTTTAATATTGCTGCAGAAATTCCGGATTATGCATGGACGGACGGCTTTCAAATTTCCGCGCCACAGGATTTTTTTTCCCCTGCCCCCACGATACATTTCTCAACACTAATTCCGGTATTATCTACAAGTCATTGCTAATATGTTTTATTAAAATTTAAAAAAATTAAAATTTATTAATTTTGTTAAAAAAATTACTCTCTCCATTCAAAAATATAAGATATTTTTTTGACTAAATTATATCTCAATAAATTAATTAATTATCTTTGCATGTTTGCCTTTATAGGACATTTTACTTGAAACAAAGGGGGGTCGTAGGTCTTCAACTTTGTCTCTATATATTAAATATTTACTTACTTTAATCTTATTTATAAATTATTTTTAGCAAGTTTTAAATACACATATCTTAAAAATAAAATAATTTAGAATTTAATAAACTTTTTAACATTTAACAGAGATAAAAAAAAAAGGTAAAGATAAACATAATAATAATTGAAGTATTTTATAAATAAAATCAAAATGATTACTCCTTCTACCTTTTAAGTAGAACTAAAAAAATATATTTTAATAATATATTTTCTCTTACCAAAACGACCGCCTAATGGAAGTAGCAAATTTTATGATAAAAGGTCAATATAAATAAGATCTAGAAAATTATCCTCCCTATTTTATAAATAAAATTAATGAAAGAGCTCCCACTTGTTATTAAAAGATGTTTAGAAAAAAAAAATTTATCGTTAATATAAGTAACTTTACAAAAGTTTGTGTAATAGTAATCACTTTATTCTAAATATGCCCTTCTTCTCAATTTTTAATTGAGAGATAAAAATATTTTTTAATATATGATATTTATCATTGGTGAAAATAGAAATCAAATCAATTCTTAAACAATTTCAATATTGTGTTTGGGGAAAAAGCCTAATGGATTGGGTTCACTGTACTTGAATTATTAAAAGGCGCTTTTTTTGGGAAATCGTTGTGTTTATTTGATCCGTGATGCCTACGCAAGGTCTAAACCGAGACACTGGACACGAGGCATCTCGACCGCATTGGGATTGCTATCCGAAGGAAGCAGCATGCATGGCGAGTTTTAATTAATTGATTAATTAACTCGTTCACCAGCACTACGTGCCCCGCATTCACCCTTTATTGATTGATTCCGCACCATTACTATATATTTACCCTCATCCACACAACCTTTGTCTCTTTCTATTCCTTTAAATTCTTTAACTCCGCAATCACAGCCTGCACGGATTCTAAATTCTCTGCATTGCCCGTGTCCTACTTCTACCCTCTCGATTTTTTTTCATGACAAGAATTCGACTTCGAGACCATAAATTTACCTAATCCGAGAAAAAATATACAGACAAAGAAAAAGATCAAGGAAGGGTGCGTAGATATCAAAACGACATTCGTCCTGTATTAGTGATTAGCAACAATGTGCGTAAAAATCCACAGCCACAGGTGTGGGCACAGTAGCAATTCCAAAATAGACAGAGAGAGGGGACCAAACTCAGAGATTACACTCACGTGGCAAATTCTTGCAGGTCCACGTAACTACACAGATGCCAGACATCATCTTGAGGCCAATAATGGAAACCTAAATCGTGAAAAATCAATACCAGATGGATAATCCTCCTCACACCCAAATGAACGCCACACCACATATCCCTCACCACCACTCTCACTGTGCGGCTCTAAGTAAGAACCAGTTCAGTGCCACTTCTCAATTAACTACGATTCTTTTATTAATACTGAAATTCTGTAGAACTTTGTGCCACAAAAAATGGGATGCGCTTCCTCCAAGCGTATCGAAGCCAACGTTGATGTGTACCGCCCGGCGCCGACGAGCTTCGCGGTGTTTGACATCAACGCCATCGAAGAACCATGGCTGAAGTTCAACACCTCCGAGCTCGAGCAGGAGCGACAAGACAAAGCCCCCAACCCCAACTTGCCTCCACCTATTCTGCAGAAGCTCAAGAAGCTCGAGACCACCGAGGCTCCTCAGTCATGGGCAGAGCTCAGCAAAGCACTCGACGACCTCAAGCCCAGCCTCGCCTCCGCAGCCGCAGCCGCCAAACCCGTCGCCAAACCTCCTCCCTCTATAACGCCACAGAAAAGCACGCCGTTCCACACGTTGGAAGAGTTGGACGCCAAACTAAACCCTAAGCCCGATAAAGACCTGCAAAAGACGGAGTCCATGCGGGATGAACCGAAAAACAAACCAGAGGAAAAGAAAGAGGAGAGGACGAAACAGGAAGTTGGAGAAGGTTTCAAATCCGTGAAAGACAACATATTCATAGTAAGAGACAGAATGGAGAGAGAGAAAGAAGGGAAGCAGGCGAACTACGAGAGGATAGCAAAGCTGAGGAGGGACCCGCTGAGCGAATTCCAGGAGAAGTGCCCGCCGGGAGGGAAGGAAGGGGTAGTGATATACACGACGTCGTTAGGAGGAGTGAGGAAGACGTTCGAGGACTGTATCAGGGTGAGAGAGATATTAGAAGGACACAGGGTGGTGTACGACGAGAGGGACGTGTCGTTGCACGGAGAGTTCCTGAAGGAGATGAAGGAGATGGTGGGGGAGGGACTGAGGGTGCCGAGAGTGTTCGTGAAAGGGAGGTACGTGGGCGGGGCAGAGGAGGTGGTGGAGCTGAACGAGTCGGGTCGACTGGGTCGGATCCTGAACGCGACACGTGTCGAGAGAGGAATAGGGAGACAAGCGTGCGAGGGATGTGGTGGGGCCAGGTTCGTGCCATGCTGGGAATGTGGTGGAAGCTGTAAGCTGATAGACGCGACGGGGTCTGGCGGAGACGTGAAACGTAGGTGCCCTCACTGTAACGAGAACGGCTTGATTCACTGTCCCGCTTGTATTTCACTCTGATTTTAATTTCTTTCGTATATACCATGATCCAAAAATTAATTAATTATTAGTGCTGGGTTTCTGCTCTTGCTAGCAAGTAGCTTAATTTGGGGATTTTATACGTTCGTGTGTTGGACAGTTGATTATCTTGTAGCCTCTCTATTCTGTACTTTGATGATGTATTGGTGCCGGAGCTTAATCCTAGTACAAAGTAATTCCATAATCTTCTGTGCATGTTTATTAAGGTGTGTATATTGATATTGTCCACGTCTAAAGAGACATGCAAAATGAGTAGAAATCAAAATATTTAGGGCCCAACCGGGTTCGAACCGGTGACCTCTTGATCTGCAGTCAAATGCTCTACCACTGAGCTATGGACCCATTGACGCAAAGTTTCACAATTTATATGTTCTAATATTAAAGTTTTGTTACGCAATTTTCCAATACAAAAACTTCATGTGTCTCTTTGGATTCCACGCATGTAGAGTTCGAACCGGTTTCCTACTCATATCATTCTTGTAATGAAATCTAAATTATTTAAATTTTAATTTGAATGGTTTAAATTTTAAATATTATTAAATAATTTTATATTATATTTATTAAAATAAAATTTATAAAAATTATAAAATAATTTTAATAATTTTTTTAATCTGATCTAAATTTAATTTAAAAGATTTAATTTAATATTAAAATTTTTATAATTGATGTATATTAAATATTTAGATATACTTTGTGTGGTTCAGATAAATTATAAATCAATAATTTAAACTGTATAAAACACATCTGAATAATATATGAATTATAAAAATTTTAATATTAAATTGAACTATCTAAATTAAATCTAAATTATATTAAAAGTAAAAAATTATTTAAATTATTTTATAATTTTTTTATTTTAATAAATATAATATAAAATTATGCTTAAAATTTAGATTATTTAAATTAAAATTTATATGATTTAAATCTTATTTTAAGGATGAGCATATAAAATGAGCATCGAAACTGAATCGACGGAGTATGGAGGCTGGAGGTGGACGTTAGACACGTGCCAGTAGCGGGATGCGACTTTTTTTTTTCCCCGTAAGATTTTTTTTTTTTGTTGGGCCAAACTATTAGAAAGTTGTTAGGGTAATTAAGTAACTATTTAAGCATTTGCTTATATAGATCTAAGCAAAATGATAAATAAATATTTTGAAAATATACAAATAATAAAATAGTATCATGAAATAAAATAAATACTCTAAAATCTCTATTATTTATATTTCATAATTTTTTTGTGAAATAATACTCCTGATCCCCCTCAAAATAATTGAAAGTAGAATTATTAAAACCTATGCTAATTAAGATCGAAACTAAAATCGTCAATATAAAAAGTATAATTGTTGTCATATGAATAAACTGAATTTATGACTAGCTGCAACTAATACTTAAACTAAAGTTATTAATATAAGAAGTATGCTTGTTATTTCATAGTTAAATTGATAACTACACTTCTTATATGAATAATTTTACTTTCATTATCAATATATAAATTTTTCTCTAGGTTTGGTAATCACGTTTTTGTTTTCTGAGTGTCAAAAAATTTATTTAAAAAAAAGATTAAATTAGTCTCTAGGAACTTCAAAATAATTATTCAATTTTATGATATTTATTTATTATTTGTCTATTTCAATGGATTTATTTGTCATTCTCACTTGAATCTATTTTTGGCGTCATAATCACGTTTCTTTGTTTATTGTGATTTATATATAATTACTTTTATTGAATCACCAATTAATAAAAACTTAAAATCTACATTGAATAATAAATTAGTGGATAAAATCATATTTAAAAGAATTTTCACGAAGTCAAATAGTTGAAAATAAACAAAATTGTTTTATCAAATAAATAAATAAAATTGAATACTCTCATCTTACAAAATGTAAGGCATTTTTTTAGGAGTTGAGTGTTAAAAAATGTAAAGTATTTTTAATCTTTCAAGGTATAATCATTGTTTTTTTTCAAAAGTATTCCTATTGATGAATGACTTTATATTTATTATACAGTATTTAGTAGAGATAAATATGAAAAAATATGATTAGTTTGAAAATAAGCAACTACTTTATTGAGAGGTAAAATTTAATTAAAAATACTTTATATTTTTTAATGGAGGAAGTACATGACATAAATAATCTCATAATAAAAAAAAGTATATTAACTAAGTGAATGCAATAAAAATGATAGCAATTTGAGCCCTTTAAATGTCATTCTAGGGTTCAATTTTTATAAGTATACATGAGAAAACATCGCAAAGGAGAGAGCAACCCTTTAAATGATCTTCAATTTTTTTGAGGGATTAGTTTCACGAGATTGTCGGGTATAAGGACACCATGGGTAAAAAATAAAAAGAGCATATCCAATTGCACTAATGCATAACAAAGAAAACAACTACAGAAAAATTGGAACATAATGTAGGATAAAAGAGCACAATTGTCTCTAAACTATAACTCAAAAAGCATTTAGGACCATAAACTCATTATTTGTACAATGTGCTCTTCTAAATTTTGAAAACAATACAATTGACTACAATTAAAAAGGTTAAATTTGATCATTGGTTGATAGGAAAGAACCAACAAAAATATCTTGATCTTTTATTGTAAATTGCTATGGCCTACTTATACATCATATAACACATCACAAGTATAGATCCCAATCAAAAAGGTAATTAAAACTTATTTAAAAACCCTAATGTCAGCACAATCATTTAACCATTGCAACTTGTAGGGCTTAATGTGTGGAATTGAAGGTAAAGACAATTTATTCACAAGTAAAGTGCTAGCTACAATAGTAAAATTAAAACCATCAATTATCAAGCTATGCACTTCTTCTTTGATTGAATGTTGTTATAGTATAAGTGTGAAAAATATGTTCACGTTATTTATGTTCTTCATCCTACTTTGATTGAATGTTGAGAGCTCTTCTAACCATCAAGTTAGAACTAATAACTCTCTCATACTCAAGCTACTCATCTCTCTCAATAGAAGACAAGCTTTCACCATCATGACCATCTTTTTTAGCTACTCCCATGCATGCTTTCATAGCCACCATCTTTTTTCAAGATTAAGGACAGAGTCAGGATTTAAGAATAAGGGGGATCAAGATTAAAAAATATATATACAATAAATTTTTTATAAATTTTAAGGGGCCAAAAGTATATAATACTTATATAATACAAAGAAAATTTTAAAAAATTGGAGGGCCATGGCCCCTGTTGGTTCCCCCCGCCACTATAATCAAGATCATAGTTTTTTTTATTATTATAATCTCTCGCTATATGTCCCACATCTTGGCACTGAAAACACTTCATAGAAGTAGTGTTAGAAGAAAAAGAAGAAGGCTTGGAGTTTGAATTGATTTTTTTTAATTATTGTCTATAGTTTTGAGGTCTTTTACTATAAATTTTTGATTATTTTTTATAATTTTTGATATCATTTTTTTGGTCAACTAATAATTAAAATTAATTTTTGCTAATAACAAAGGTCAGATTGCATTATATTCAAAAATAAAAGAAGGTACATTATACAAATAATAAGTTTAAAATAGCATACATTCTTTGTCCTTCTAGCATAGAATATATTATCATAAATATGTGTGAAATGGTCCAATTCTTCCAAAAGTGGCAGATCCAGCTGTGGATTGACATGCCAAATGCAAATTTTACTAAATTAAATTACACTGATAAACATAACACAAAAGAATAAGGGAGAATTATAATCAGGTTCTATACAAAAAAATTAATTACTCTAAGATTTATTGACAACTGATTGTATTGTCAATACAAGTATGTTATCAATGCAGTTCAGTTTAATTGTTAATAGATCTTATAATAATTAATTTTTTTGTGTGAGAGTTCAATGCAATTCTCCCAAGGAACAACTGAAATTGAAAAAGTCCAAACGTGTTGCAAATATATTTTTGACTAATATACATGTCCACTAGCATGCTCATAATTGACAAATTCCGGCCAACCCTCGAGAACTTGAGTTTAAGTGGCCCATTAATTAAATATGATAGTCAAGCAACCAGACGCCCAATATAATCTGGCACGTAATCTCTACTTAATACTTGAATTCAAATCGTTGAAACTGTCAGCCATGCTTTTTAAAGTGATGTATTCTGCACTATCATTATATATTCATTATATGGATCAATTGCTTTTTAAGTTGATGCGTAATCGATTACCAAACCACTAATCCAGTAAACACATGTGCTTGCTTGGGGATTCGCTGACCAACTATCATGCATCAGGCACGTGTTAAAGCATTTTTTTTTTCCTTCACGCTCCTGGCTAATCATCACCTAATTCCATTGAAAATTTTTCATCTTGTAGAAGAAGATACCGGCTGGGTCTGAAGCATGTATTCACACACATTCCTTCTTTGTCATACCTAACTAAACTTAGGTGACTCCCACTATTCTTTGCATTTTGCAAGAGATATCGATGATTCTCTTGCACTGCTGAATAGACCCCCAATAAAATTTTGCACTGATGAGCCAAGCAATTTAAGCTCAGTTTGAATCTCTTTCTACGATGAAAGGGTGATAGAGGGAAAAAAAGAGCAGTAAACTAAACATGATATCCGCACTCCCTGCCAGAAGTTATTCCTTCTGACGTTCTCTCATGATTATTACTACTTTATCTGAATGGATAGGATAGTTTCATTTGCTCTATCTTTGAAATAGTGGCCGAGATTTTTGTTTTGTGCTCGAGGAACATGAAGTAGTAGTGGATGGATACCTTAAAACCATAAAACCATTCTATTGTTAAAGAAATGGATGGATACCCAGAAAGTGAACCATCCAAACACAAATCTCCCCTTAGAAAGGAGAACAAGATGTAACGTAGTAGTGGCTCTCACACGATAAGCCACCCAACACACGAATATCAAGTTCAGCAAGCAAACTTAATACGTTGTCACTTTGTACAAGAACTCGAGCAAAATAGTTTGGTGTTATTGTATATGCTTATGTCATGACATACATACATACATATATATATATATATATATCAAAGAGAAAATTGGACTTAATGATTCAACCTTACAAAACAGCCTCTACACAGAAATCACTACTAACATATTCAGGTTCCGTATTCATGTGTCCCCCCCATAAATGCTTCCAGCCATCTTTAATTGTAAGTCCATGTATGACATTTAGACCCACCACTCTATGATAATTATCCTTTGTATGTCTTCGTAACTTCTGTTATTGTATTCTCTTTCTCATCTACCTTCAAGCTGGTATCGCATGGAAAGCTTCTTTGAAAGTGTCTTGATCAGCGAAAATATCCAGGAGAGATAGTGCCTGTAACCAGAAAATGCCCAAGGTTTAGTTTAACAGAATATACAATTGAAACATGTTGATTTGATTCTAAATGTTAAAATTCAACATGCTAAAGGGCCAACTTACCTCGGGCACATTCAGTTCAAGACGGAACTTAGGGCCGTCATAATGGTGAAGAATTGGCCTGAAGGAGTCCTCTTCCAATGGCTCACAAATTTTCCTGGTAATTACCTGTACCTGTGAACATCATAGTTAACATGTTAAGCGTCATAGGCTTTCACAAACAGATTCAAGTAACATAATAGTGAAGAAAAGACGGATTGAGGGTGACACCTGCGCAGGAAAGCGAGATTCACCAGGGCACTTCTTGTCCTCCCAAGCCGTTGGATCAATATTTGTTCCTCCAAAGCTTGCAGCCTGAACAAGCAAACCCGCACCGAGTATTACTAGTGAAAATAAATGTATTCCATTCCAAATACGAAGCAGCTAAAGCTAAAGAAAGAAATTATCCATATTCTAACTCCAACATGAATATAGGCAGATACGGGAAAATAAATTAATAAACAGCGAGGAAGCTAAGGAATACCTCAAAGATGCCATGGAGTTGGTGGGTGGAATAATTGTACAGAAAGAGGGGCAGTCCCGGAGTAATTGCGCGAACTGAGTCCCGATATCGTGGGGGCAGGCCTACAATAATGAATAAAAAAAATTAAGAATGTCAAAATTGTTATCATCCCTTTAGTATCTAATTTCATTGATGTGCCTGAATGTCTGAAAAACAGTGGCTGGGTAACAATAGCGAATGAAACAGCCTATGGATAATTCAATTAACAGAAATAATATTAATACTGTATAAGAGGATCCTTTGTAACAGAAGACATGGGAAAAGGGTTTGTTGATAGGCTAGCCAGTGCTGTTAGTATGATTCATGAAATCTCAGGCGATCTTTCTTTTTGGTCAAAGAAATCCCAGGTGATCTGACTATTAGTATACATACAAGCCAAAGATAATAGGAAATTGAAGAGAAATCTTGTTCTAAAACATAATTGCAGGGTATAGTCATGAACAGATGGTTGGGGGGGTAAAGAAAGGAGACATACCAAAGAGCTGCCTCTTGAGATTTTCAGCCATGGTGTCGTTGTTGCAGACAAATATGTATCCCCCGATGGTTTCATTTCTAGGAAGAGACTCGGAAGGAGGCAGGGTTTTGAATCTCTTGTCGACGGCGGCCTTGGTATCCTTGTTGTCGTTATTGTTGTCGTTGTTTTTCCTGTTACCACTAGTATTGTTCTTCTTAGCAGCTTTGGGTTCTTCAATCTTACCACCAATCTTGTGGGCCCTCGAGTTGATAGAGTTGATGTTAAGATCGAGATAAGAAGGCTTGGAGTAGATACCTTTATTGAAGGCTCCGTTGAGGGGGACGGTGTTGTGAGGCACAGAGAAAAGCGATCCATTGGAAATCGAAGAATCGGGCATCTTCCAGCCATCGTTGAAGAGATTGTAGTCCGAAGAAGGCTTGGAGTTGAAATTGGTGGTGTTGTTGATCTCACCACCAACCTTGATATCGAAATTCTTCCTCTGATCAGTCCTCTTGGTGCCGTAATTGCTGCTCCATATTGAATCGTTGAGCGACAGATTAGCCAGACTGGAAGACTGAAGACGAAGCTGATCGCTAAATTGCCAGAAGGATTGCTGATTGTTCTCCATGGCCGACCTTCAGCTACACGCCTACACGACTGGTATAACTCAGTCAACAAATGAAGAAGATCGGGGAGAACTCGGGAGAGACACAGATATGAAGATTCAAGAGTGAGAAAACAGAACAGGCGGAATGAAATGAAATGGAGGACGGCAGAGATTATTAAATAAAAAGGTGAGAGACTGGGAGGCAGATTTGCATACAAAATAATGATGATATATGATAATATTTATTTAATAAAATGAAAAATGAAACTTCGAGGAAAGTTGAGGGGGTATTATGGGTTGCGTGATAATTTGCCAAAGTTGAAAGTAAAAGGGTGGAAAGGAGAGGCATGTTATTGATTTTGCGGAAGCGCGTTAATGGTGACGTGGAGGAGAGAGAAAAGCGGCAGTTGGGATTTTCTAGAAGGGTGGTTCGTTCAATTTGAGTTCACACTTCGCATTCAGTCATTCACCCCCGTCTCGTCTCGTTTGTCCGAGGGCGCAATTTTACTTCGTCGCTAAGATTTGCATTTAAAGCCCAACCAAAAATAAAAAATAAATAAACAAAAGCACGAGGGGGTGTTGTCGAGTAGAGACACACAGAGAGAGAGTAGAAGCGGTCCGTGAAGAAGGGGCACGTCGACGGGTTGCGTGTTGAATGAATCGTGTCTTCAATTTTTAAAACTGATATAAATACATTAAAATTAAAATAAATAAATAAAGACTAAGTCAACAATGTGATTCCGTGTTGGACCACCACCGCTACGGTGTTCAAGAGCCCAAAACAAATCAAGCATGAGATAAGGCGAGAGTGAAATGAGTGATCAGTGGAGAGATTAACGCTAATGGAAGCATTGTTTTTTTTTTTTTTTTTGCTGAAGAAAGTATTGTTTTTTTTGGAACTTTGGTTGGCGCATTACGGTTTGCCTGCTACCTTTTTTTTTTTTTGGGCTGGTGGCCCAGTTTGTTTTCCTTAAAAGAGTGGCAACGCAACAACAGACTGAAAAGACTTAAGTTTCTGCCTTTGGATTAAAATGCAAACACGGTTTTGTGGGTTTTTTTTTTTGGTTTTGTTTTATTTTTTTGGGGATCTTAACTGGATTGGATCGCTTCTGCCCCGGTTTGCGACTTCCCCTCGCCTGTCTCTTCCCCACAAGAGCATTCATCCTTGACGATGAACCAATTTTCCTGTTCTCCGTTAATTAAATATGAACACATTTCTACAATTCAATTAATGGAGACTACATCACATCCACCTACCTTATATTATAATTCTAGATATTTTATTTGTGAAATTACGTGGCATTTGATTTGCAAGACGAGGACAAAAATTGGGATGGGAATAAGCTATAGCCAGCATACTTTTTAATGTGAATTGTAAAAATAGCTAGTAAAAAGAAAAAATTAATCTACAAGTCTTTGTAATTTTTCTCAATTTTAAATTAAATTTTTATAATTTATTTTATTTTAATAAAAAATTTATAGTTTTATCAATTAAATATGTTAGGCTGGGTTGTAAATCCTTTAAATTTTCCTTTTTAAAAATAAAATTGAGGATTTTTATATGTTTATTATATAAGTTTGGAATTGATTACATGATTTTTATAACCAAAATTTATATAATTAGATTATTTTTTTAAATAACTTTTATACAGATAGAATTTTCATACAAAATTTAATAAAAATATAAATATTGTATTAAATATATTTTTTTGCTAAAGTTACTAAACCAAATTTTCTACGAATTTTAAAAATATTTTTAGTTAAAAAAGTCAATTATTCATCAATAATTTTAACCTCAGGGATTAACATTAATCAATTAAATTATAAGACCTGAATTAAAATAAATTCAACTATGGGGATCTAATCTAAAATTGAAAAAAAAAACTAGAAAGTCTTAAAAATTAATTTTCTCTACTAAAAACACAATAAATGCATATAGAATATATCTCATTCACCATGTGTTGTTCCCCCCCTATTATCTCACACACGACTAGTTTTACAAAATATTAAATTTTTAATTAAAACATGAAAAGTAGTCCCTCTACTTTTATTTGTTAGATAAATTGTTGCTTTTGATTTGTTTTTTTTAAAATAGAATCACATATATCAATAAATATTTATCCTAATAATTTACGTTAATGAAAAACAAGTAATGCATGCTTATGTTGATTAGCACAGGATATTTTAATTTAATTTTTTATTCTCAAACATGATTATCATAATTGACTAATTTGTTGGAATATTATTTATGAATTAGCATTAATTAATAAGCCCAATAGTTTGATCTTTATGATCTTGTATGGACCGTGATGGGTGGACCACACAAGTGAGTTCAATGGGTAGAGGCCCAACCCACAATCTAGTAGCCGTTAGTTATTTTCTATCTCTAAACTGACTGAGTCAGAGATAATAGATAATATAATTATATTTTATTTAATAAGGCGGTTACATATATGATCTATATAAGTCGATCAGTTGATAACCGCAGATACACAACTCATTCTTCTACTTCCATTATCTCTGAACTCTCTGAAAGTTTTAGAGACCTGTGGGTTGTGTACCTGCCTACACTCTAGATAATCGAGCTTTCTTAAGCGCTCATAAATTTTTCAGGTACGCATATATTATTTTACTTGTTTATATGAATTGAGATATACAGATTTAACATAATTTTCTTAAACTATGCATCCTTTTTTCTTTTATATATAGAAATGAAAGAAGTATACAACTAATTCTATACTTAATGTACTTTTATCCAATCAAATTAAAATAAGTAAATTTTAATGTGTTCATAGTATTAATAACTTAAGTTTATTATAGAATAAATAATATATAAATGATTCACTGTCTTAATTTAATTTAATTAAAAACAAGCATCTTAATTATATAAGACTAAATATATAAATTTTTTATTATGATTAATATACAAAAATATAATTTTAACATGTTTTAATTTATAATTTATTATAGACTAAATAATATATAAATGAATCACATGTCTTGATTTGGTTGAAAACAAGTACCTTAAATATAATAGGCTAAATATATAAGTTTTTTATGAATTAAATATATACGTTTTTATCATGATAAATATAAAAAAATATAATTTTATCATGTTTTGATTTATAATACAATAAAGATATAAAAAGTGATAAGCTCTACTCCCAAAAGTAAAAAGCATAAATTCTCACGTGCATCGGATGCATGCACTTGCATTTTCCCCCCCTTCACATGAACCATATCTTGCTCATAAATGAGGTATGCGCGTCAGTGATAAATTTTGAATGCATGCTCCGGTGAAGTATGAATGGCAATTTCATCAACTCGATCTATAATACAGGGTATTTTAATTCCTTGATTAAGTTCATTAATTAAATTTAGTTAGTTAAAAATTGAGTATTAATTACTAATTAGTTTTATGATGGTCAATGATGGCTAACAAGCTCATTGATGTTAGGTACAGCCTTTAATTAGATCCAAGTGTGAATTGGATCATTTGGACCCAAATTAAGGGACAAAATCATGAAAGCTTATTCTGCATACCACAATAGATGCATTATGCACCACTACGAATGTTCTAAAATTTTAAATAGTAAGACTAAGCTCAAGCTGTTTGGCCCATTTTGTCCTATTTTTTATTTGCTTTTTATTTTTTTCATTAAATGTATTCATGCATTTGTATTCATGCATTTTTAATTGCAAAGGAATGCAATACAGGTGTCTAATTATATACAATCAAGTTTGTCATACTCGAGAACTTGTTTTTCTTTTTGCAATTATTCAGAAACCAATTATTTAGTTTTTATGATTATTTGCACATAATTTTATCATAGTTTAGGTTGAGAACCATTGTACGCGCGCATAATTTTACCATGGTTTGGGTTGAGAATCATTTTATGTGTGTTCTCACTAGGTATTCTTTTCATCATTTTGTTATCTTCATGCTTATTATTGATATCTAAGCTTTTTTACTTATATCACTGAGTGATATGAGGGATCCACGTCTAATTTGTTTCCACCTTCCATGCAGGTCATGCTACTCTTCATATATAAATTTGAACCTAGACAAGCTTTCTCTTCTGTTGAAAGTGGTAAGAAGCCATCTCTTTTCTTCTCTTATATATATATATATATATATATTATGTTGACAAATTAAATTTAGAAGACTAAATGTCATTGGGAAAAAATAAGTTCTTTTATATGATAGTATTTGATTTCCAAATAGATTCCAAACAATTCATTGGAAAAAAAAAGGGTGGTGAGTTCCTTAAATTTTCCTCACAAATTCTTCATTGGTGTACAACATAGATAAAATAGTGTTTTTTTTTTTGTTTCTCTCTCTAAAGCTTCTAAATATTGATGGTGAAGATTATTTCTTTAGTGTCAATGGTGGTAAGGATTTCTTAGACTGATTTTTAATTTTTTATAACATTATATGGCGAGCAAATGTTGTTTTGGCCAACTAATAAGTGTTCTCATTTATTCATTTACATATTTATGTTCTTTATAGCATTATATTATTTTTGTTGTTTCCTTTTTTTTTTAGTTAATGTTATCTAGACTTTTGTTTTGTATATTTTTTGCAAGTTGGCATTATTGTAAAATACATTTTTTTTTGTTTTAGATAATATTTTTGTTCTTCTAGTGTAATATTTAGAAGATTGGATTAAATTAAAAATATGTGTTAATTTTGTAGCTAGAGTAGTTGGTTGAAATTGTAGCTACAAAACTCATAATGTTTTTATTTTAATTTTAAATGAAAGTATTTTTTTTATATAAGTTTATATAGCATGTAACATTTGAAAAAAAAAAATTTGAGGCTATCAAAGTGCTTTAGCATAGAAGCGCCCTTATTTTATGAACTTGTTTATAGACCTACAGGAGAGCTTTTAAGTAAAAGCGCTCGTAGACCTCCCTAACTTTTTTTGCAATAAATGCCCACAGGAGCATTTATAAAAAAGCGCTCTCATAAACCACTCATGCAGGAGCACTTTTAAAAAGCACTTTCATATATATCAGAGCTCTAGATACAAAAGCGCTCCAATAATTCAAAAATAAGTGCTCTAAGATATATTTTTGGTAGTAATGCACCTTTAATTCTAATGACTTGATAATCACAACTTATGATTTGAAAAGTCATGAATATCACAAAAATCAATTTCATGGCAATTAATTATAAGTTTTGCAAATAAATGGAGTCACATGCTC